ATTTGCACGCTTGTCAATTCTAGTATAGTCGGATATTCCACAGCGGAATCCGTTTTCGGCGAGCATATTCGTGTATAGGTGTCGGTGTGCGGTGTATGTTTAGAGATCAATGTTAATATCACCGAGTACCATCATGTCTGTGGATGCATTATATTTCCTTAGGAGCTTGGATAGTTCAGTGACAAAGATAGTTTTGTTAGTAGAGGGTGGTCTATAGATTGCACACACAATTACCCGGTTATTATTTGCCGTTATCAAAGTGCCTGTTATTGTTTCAAAGGAGTGTGTTTTTGATGTGTTAGTGGTAAATTTAAGATAGTTTTTTACGTAAATTATTATGCCGCCGCCTTTTCTGTGCTGTCTTAATTGTGTGTGCATTCTGTAGCCCGGTATTTGAAAAAGATTACATACGTTATCAGATATACCTACTTCGGTGACAACAATAATATCAAGTGATATTGTTGAGGAGTCTATTACACATAACAGTTTAGAGAAATTTTTTAAAAGTGATCGTATGTTTACATGCATACAAAACATATTAACATTAGCAGTAGGAATATTTTTGACGAACGAGTTGACGGTTACGCAATTATATATTTCATTTATTTGATCTGACATAATTTTTTAAAATATTTGACATACGATTTTAGAATACGATATATAGTAATGTAAGTGAAACTATTAAGTAATACAATTAAAGTATGAGAATTTACCAGGTGTAGTATTTATTTAGTATGTAGGTACCTTACGATTTCAGGAGTGAGTCAATATCGGATTCGGCACGTATTATGAAAACACGTTCGGATTCTTCGCCTTTCTTAGCATATATTTTTCCTTCTTTACACCATATATATTTGAACGTCCCGTTTAGACGTTGTTTGGCGTTATATAGGAGTGTCTTACAATAATGGGTGAGAGCGGCCCGGACATATACGCGGCGTGTGGCTTTTTCCGTTGGCAGATCTGAAAGGATGTTCCCTGTCAGGATTTCGTTGAGGTGAGCTTGATAATGAGGTACGCTACCCTGTTCGACACACTGGAAATTTCCACAACGTTGTCAGATAGGGACTTATTTACCAGAAACCCAACCCCACCTTGGGATTGTTGGTCTCCCTCGCGGAAGTACATTAGGTGGCCTGACTCGAGGGTTATGGTGTCCTCCCCCTCTATTCGGACTTCACATAGCCCTAGGATATGCCACCTAATCCTTCCAAGTTCCACCTCAAGTTGCGCCAGATGCGAGTCTAGCCGTAGCGTGCGTCCGTTGTACGTAGCCAGGGTCAGTCGGTTGTGGTGGCCTCCCGTAGCCCGGAGATTCTTCGCACCCCCTGCCCCACCTTTACCGTGGTCGCCACCATGACCAGGAATAGCGGCGCCGCCGGGAACTGGGGGCCGTGGCCTTTGTTGCGTCTGCATGGGAGGGGTTTGCCCATAATCGCCACGCTGGGCAAACGGGTTGGCGATCACAGGGCGTAGCTTGTCGCACCGGTAACGCTGCTGCCCGTCACCGGCCTGTTGTATTTAGCTACGCCTATTGGGATGGATATACCGCCATCGGCCGGTCGCCAGAGCCTCGTTCGTCGTTCAGCAGGATGCACCGCGGGCAGGTGAGGTTGGCTTGGGGCGAAAGATGGTGGTTCGCCCCTCACACGCAGTGTTTATATAATTTATATTTTGTGACCTTTGTGTAAGTTGGATTATTTTTTTGAGTCTGCTAGCTAATAGTCTAAAATTTAACTAATTTTCCTTAGATGGCCGCTGTCTGTACTTCCACTTTCTCCACACTTTCTCCTACAACAGATTTTTATACCATGTGTGATCCATTTTGATTTAACTGCGGTCGGTATTTTTCCTTTAATATTTGGAAAACATAAGTTATAAAAGTGTAAAAAATATATCATGAAATCTATTAAAAGCTATATTTCATACGTGTCTTCGTATACTTCAGTGAAACCAATACCATTCATGCAATCAATATATTTATTTATATTATCCCTAGAATAGTTACGCCTAATTGTAAACCAATAGTCAAATTTGCATTTTTTTTAAACAGGGCACTGGAATAATTGCGCTGTGTGGTCTGAAACTGCTAATTCTAATATTTCGCTTCTACATCCTATTATGTAAAAAGCTGTACCATGTACATGTAACATGTACCACTGCTCATATATATAATATATATTATAATAAAACAATAAAATGATGTAATGAATTACTGATATAATTTCTTATAATTTCTAGTAAATAATGAACATTTGAATGAAAATTCAATTATAGTCCATCTAATCTAAGAGGTACCGATTGACAGTTCTGACAAATGGATGAATAGGTAGGGGGTTCAAGAGATTAGATTACTACAATATTCGATTCTTAAGAGATTTCGATATCATTTCTTTGTATTTACAAATCGATTATAATTTCACAGGTTTGTGTATGTTACTTACTGCAGCCCGTGTACTATTATTATATTATGTTTATTATTTGTATACCAATATAGCTCTTCAGTCCTAACCTAATTTAGCCAGATTTAAATCAATAATTGTGTTTTTGTGGTGTCTTGGACACGAGTGATTTTGCCTACAAAGTTATTTAAAATTATATTAACTTACATATTTTTATTATGTTTTTCGTTAACAGTTGATGTCAGCTGAAATTTAAGTATCGTTACAATACGCGGCAAATAACTTTTCCAGCAACCATTAAAGTTCACGCAAGTATGCAACTGTAGCAAAATGCAATTTTAGGTGTCCGAGGGGAAGCATGTACGTGTATGAACATAAACATCTATAAAAACAATTGACCACACTTAAGTAAAGGCAAATAAATCACACAAGGTCTAGTTTCAGGAATATGTGTTTTATTTTTTGTTAAAAAAGCGTTGTATTAATACTGCACCCACAAAATATTCGTGCCGTAATCGTACATACTAAAGCATTTTAGAACAAAGCGTACACTCACCTGTGGTATGATATTCCCTTATCTTTATTTACCTTTTGTGCACTTTCGGAATACACAGGAAGGCATTTTATGAATTTTCTCGAATTAATTAGTACGTGCGCTCGCTGGCGGTGATCGTAATTAGGGCCTTCGCATTTTGTATGTTGGTGGCGTATCTACCTCTTGTTTGTATATCATATCATTGATACAAACTATCTAGACAGCATGGTATAGGTGGCCAAAACTTCCTTTCTAAGAAGAGGCCTATGTCCAAGCAGTAAACTGTTAAGTATGTTGATGATGATGATGATGAAAGCTCCAGATAAGTGAAATAGTCATCAAGACTCGAAAAAAGCTCCTCTCTAAACGAACTAAGCATTTGTAATAATATCAAACATGTTTAGTCTCCATCAATCATATTTATAGGAGACCAAAGCGGGGAGTGGTTGGTTTCCCGTAACGTCAGAAAGAATAGTCGGCGCGGTAGTCACTTACCCCCCTTTGCTGCTTTTTTACTATAGAGTTAAATATAAATATATATATATATTTATGGTATAAGAGACAGACGAGTTACCTGATGGTAAGCAACTACCGCCGCCCATGGACACCTGCAACTCAAAAGTCACAAGTGCGTTGCCGCCCTTGGAGTCCCTCTCGCTCAGCAGTCAGCGGGAGGGGGGATTTGGGCTCCGGTAACCTCACTCACTCAGTGAAAGGCAACGAAAGAATTGCTTAACACCGGTTTTCTGTGAGGCCGTGGCAAATATATTATATATATAAATATATTACTTATACTACCGAACTTAAGTATAAGTAATATGTTTATATTAAACGATATAGCCGCAACTTGACTTTGGTGATGGCGTATTATATACAATTTTTTTACGGAAAAGGGGGTGAGTGATTACCGCCGCCGACTTTTTAATATTGACATATTTTTTTGGTTTTTTTTTTTACTACATTTAACTATCCTACTTGACTCATTCATGACATCATCGCAGGTTAGATCAATGGTCACAATAGGCTTTTGGTTGTTGATGGTGAACATATTGGGAGCATTGACCAACAGGTCATCAAAGAGACTTTGGTTCAACGCAGTGATGGTGCTAATTTGAGTCATTTCTAACTGCCATATTTTAGTATTTGACTGGTCTAATTGATGTTCTTAATTGCTGTATACGATCAAAAGCAAGTTCATACTCAGCACTGCACCGGCTGAACCCATTCACAATGAGTAGCAATGGCTTCAGAGCATTGTATATGAATCTGGGCTCGTTCTAACTTAACATTCTTATTTTTATCAAGCCTAGTAATTCCCTCTCATTATCATACCTTTCCGGAATCAGCTGGTACAAGCTAGTATTAGATATACTAGCTTGTTCCGGCTCATTGCTTGTATTTATCAGGAACCCTATTGCAGGCGGCAAGGCGATGGAGTACTGGTTAGTCATCAGACACAAGTCTCTAGAGACACAAGTCTCTAGAGACACAAGTGCTTTGCCATCTCTTGACTGTTCCCTTCCCGTGTGAACTAGACGAGTTGAGCCTACGGTGGGCTAACTGACTCAATGAAAAGCAACAAAAAGTTCCTTAACTACAGAATTACTGTTAAGCCCTGGTATTATTCCGGTCGAGCGAGCTTATAATGTGACGAAGTATGGCTCTTCGACGGTCAACAAAAAAATATATATGTATGAAATTCTGCAATCTGCACTTAGCGATTCTAAATATCATGGATTAACACTTAGGGAGACGGGAAATAAAGGCCAGGAATGTACAAATCTACATTATCATAGTAATTGAAGACGCATATGACATTTATTAGTTTTATTGTTAATAATAATAATTGCTGGTAAAAGAGTTTGGTTAAGAGTGCGTTTGTGATAGTAGTTTAGTGCCTGAAGTCGCTGAAACAACAATTGCAATTTAGATCCCACTAATGGTTAAATGCATTAACTTATTTACATCAATATTTTCTTAAATATTTTCAAGGAGTTTTAAAAAGTCAACGAGAAATTAGCTTAACTTCAGATATTATTTGATACAAATCAACGCATATCTTACTAGGGTTTAGGTAACTTATCCAAGAAATCCCAATTAAATATAGGTGCTTTTGCCGTAGTCGTTTCTTCTCTTGTACAGTTGTACATTCTGTTCAACTTTATGATATCTCCTTCAGATAAACCTTCTCTTTGACCGATCTTTGCACCTTCCTGAAATACAAAAATGATTGTAAAATAAAAGTAAGAATATCAGTCAAATTATATTCCTATAAATACGTAAAATCACCCATCTTCATATTTTCAAGCAAAACTAAGGGTTTATTATGTGCGAGTTACAAAAACAGTTTTATGAGTCTGTATGTATAAGGAACTACTTAGTTTGCTATCAGGGAGGATTACGATGTCAAAAATATCGACATTGTACCTATTTACTACTAGTGTCGTATGAAATGTATCGAGGAAAAGCAAACCATCGAAAATGAAGATCGAATGAATATCGATATATTGAGGTATGGAATGAAATCGCTTGCATACAAGCATTGGGATCATTTAATAAATAGTTTTTAAAACTGCTAACAATTGATTGATTGTTTTTAATTGTGCTTTGTTGCTGCTTAGGCTACTTTACTCCTATAAGCCATGTTCCTTGAACAAACATGTTCAAGTTACAAATTATAAATACTACCGTATAGTATCGATACTGGATTCAATATGAAACACAAGTATCAATAAAATTATGAAAAGATTTGCAATGTAAAAAAAAATTTGATACATCAGAAGATTCGACTCCTGTTGCGTCTTCTTACTCTTTTTTTTGAAAACAGTTTCAGGTTAAATAAGTTTATTTGTTACCTACCTTTTTTGGAATTATGGTTTTTTGTCCGTTCTTGGAGAATGCTTTCTCCCCGTAATGCATCAAACTGCTATAATCATATGGAACTCCAAAATTTGTTACAGTGTCATTGGTGTACTTAGCGAAATTTTTTTTTAAACCTGCATTAAAAATGTATTTGAGAAATGGACAGTTTTATATTTCCTGTGTATGGACAGCAAATTTATATAAGTTTTTGCAGCATTGTGAGCACATAAAATTACAGGGGTACAAGGTTGTCATTCGTGTTGACGACACTTAAACTAGCCCATGTCGTCGTTTTCTAACGAAGGTGCAGAAAAAATGACTAGGCTAAAAATTATTTTTTCTTGGATTTAAGTAAATGGAATAGGAAACTTTCAGACAATTCAAAACAGTTAGTATATACTCGTATTGCTTTCCAACATGGAGCGTTAGCCGCGCCCTGTCAATAATGTAACTAAGGAGGAGTCCTTCTTTTGTCTTACGTTTCGTCTTAATAATGACTCACTTTTTTTCATGTGTATTGACTTAATTCGAAAATGTTTCTCCGTATTTAGCGTGTCTAATTGCAATAAATGTTTAAAGTTTTTTTATATGTTTATACAAGAATCAAGAAAACACATAATGACGCATGTATTTTATTGTATGGTGTTAATTCTTATCAACCTCGCTTGATGTAGCATCTGTAGCATTTTTTACAAACCTCAGTGGTTTTCAAATGCACTATTATAATCAATTATTGTAAATTACTTTGTAATATGTAAAATAAATAAAAAAAAAACTTACCGTCTTCAATATTCTCAAAAACAATTGTGACATATTCATCTCTGTCGTAAGAGCTCTGCATATGGTAAAATCCAAGAGTGTGCATCATTTCATGTACTATAATGCCATGATGGAAACAATTATCAGCCAGGTTAAACACCTGAGAATTCCTAGAGTTACTTGCCTGATTGCATCCTACCTGAGAGAAGCAACCTGGTCTCCAACTCTTGAAATGCAAGTTTAAAAAAATATATTAGGTATAAAAATATATAACAACTGTTAAAGATAGTTTTATTTGAATTACATATATTTCCCTGAATCTTTTTTCCTTAATATTTTTATATTTCATGAATCTAATAGACCAGAGGCGGCCGAAAAATTTCCAGGGTATCTGTTTTATTGATAAAAATCATCAGAAATGATGGTGATCACGTTAGTAAAGAATAAGTACAATATACAAAAGCAGAGTATGCGATATACATTATTGAACAAGATTGATGTTTGATTGTTAACTGTAGTATGTAATCAACGTATTTTAGAGCCTTTGTGTTATGGAACGAGAGGCGGGCGCAAAATTTTAAGGGTATCTGCTATATTGATGAAAACAATCAGGAATGATAGAAAGGAGCTCGCTCCTTAGAAAGGAGGTTATAAGAGGTTATACAGATATTGAGAGAGATACTTAATATTATTAAAATATTTTCCTCATTATTAATGCCCAGCTATACTTTCAGCAAAATACTTCTAAAGCCAGATTTTATTTTATTACACCTGCTGCACATACATTGTATAAGGCGGACTTAATGACGTAGGTATCGTCCTCGAGCCAACCTTTAGTCGAAGCAAAGCTGTGTGTGATCTGATCTTCAGTTGCCTGTTTCAAGCCGTGGACGCCACCAAAGTATTATTCTCTCATTTATACTATTATTATTATTACTCACTTATATGCTAAGTGACAGAGAGTATCTTCATCAACCGGGTCTTTTCCCAAACTAGGTTATGGTTAGCTTTCAGTCTGCTATGATACGGCTGAACTTACAGAAAGAAACAATTGATGCCTATGAACGGATAATCCAATGATGATGATGATGAAACTTCGAAATTTTACGTGGAGCAACTGCTTTCAAGTTTCTACAACCCACATACTAGGCGATATTGAAGTTATGTAAATAGACTGATGTCGAACTTTTTAGGGCTCTAAATACCCGAATCGATTGCCACAGATGTTCGAGTGGAACCGACGGCTTAGAATTGGGTTAAAATGGTCGCCCATCCATTGACAGTCCGGGCTACGATTGCTTAACTTTACAATGTGCTAATCTACTCGGTTACCAGTCAGCCACGACCCACCCGAGAGACAGAGTATTAAATTTAATGTCGCTCGAATGCATTTGTTTTTATAGTACAATTTCTTCATGCCTGTTTTTGATTATTCGCGCATTCAAATACTTAAAAACATGTTCCAATTAGCGCTTTTAAGAGGATTAATAAAATAAAAATAATAAAAATGTTATTGTGAATAGCATGGTGATATTTGCATGGATGGTGTATAAGTATAATACCCGTAAAATATATAATACCTGTAACATAACGGCGTATTCATTTTGACTTTTCCTCCTGCGAAATTGAACACAACTTTTCCCCGCAATGTCTTGTAAAGCCTCCTTAATCATTTGTTTTTGTTTTTTGTCTGTTACATAAAACATTACTGTTTTCTTACATGAAAATTAATTTATAAACATAATTGATGTCCTATCTTCACCTAGTGGTAATGGTAGAATGCTGGAGCAGGTCATTGATGTGAAAACGACAATCTTCGGCAACTTCAGCCTTAACATTCAAAATTTACACATAAAAGATAAAATCGATACTTGCAATCATTAAAAAAAATCGCACTGAGTAAAAGCATAATTTGGGCAAGGCAACAATGGAAGGTCCCATAGTAATCAGCGCATGCCTCGAGCGGGCCAGTTTCCCAAATTGTAGAAGACGGGGAAACTGGTCCTCATCCGAAAGGAGGGGTGCCCAGCGGACTCACCATCCGCCTACCGGCCCATAGTGTTGCTTGACGAGGTGTGCAAGCTCTTCGAAAGAGTGGTTATAAGGCACCTCGTCAAGCATTGCGTCATGGTGGGGCCGGATCTAGCGGACACCCAGTACGGTTTCCGTCAGGGGCGCTCCACCCTGGATGCGATCATACGTGTGAGGGCTCTGGCGGAGGAAGCAGTTTCCCGGGGCGAAGTGGTGTGGGCGGTGTCCTTGGACATCGCCAACGCGTTCAACACTTTGCCCTGGAGATGCATCAGGGAGGCGTTCGTGTATCACGAAGTGCCTCTCTACCTCCGCCGCATAGTCGGGGGATTTGTCTTAGAGAGCCGTCATCTACCTAAGTAAGATCGGTCACGATAGACGGGAAATGTCGTACGGTGTTCCACAGGGGTCGGTGATAGGGCCACTCTTGTGGAACATCGGTTACCACCCACAACAAGATAGCACCCAGTCGTGCTTCGTGGTGCCTTCTTGGATGGTGTCGTCGTCATGTGCTACGCGGACGACACACTTGTGACGGCGTGCGGCAAGACGCGCCGTGAGTCAACCATGAGGGCCACGGCTGGGGTTACCCAAGTCGTTGAGCTGATCCGGCGGCTGGGTCTCGAGGTGGCTCTGCCAAAATCCGAGGCCTTGTTTTTTTTCATGGGCCTCGGAGGAAGCCATCTTAGGGATCAAGCCTCATAGTAGGAAGCACTCGCATCGGCATCGAGCCCTCGATGAGGTATCCGAGGCTCGTACTCGATGGCCGATGGGACTTCGGACATCATTTCCGAGGTCTGGTCTCCAAGTTGGTTGGAGAAGCTCGTGCATTGGCGCGGCTGCTGCTCAACATGAGGGAACCCGATGAGGACCCTGCAGGAGACTCTACTCGGGTGTTGTACGGTCCATGGCCCTTTATTAGGCCCCAATATGGGTGGGAGCCCTGAGGTCCAGTAACGTCGCAATCAGTGGCGCAGGAGGCGCGGGAACTGGGTCTGAGTCCTGAGACTCGAGAAATCGAGGACCAGAAATCCCAACTCCACCGGGTCCTCGTAGAGGAGTGGAAGGAACGACCTGTTATTGCGGCGGTAAGACCCATTGCAGACATCTCCTTCGGTATGTGCTCAGTATTCATACGTTCAGCCGCATGACGGGTAGGACCCACTGATTGAATACTTTAGTCTTTAGGCACTGAAGGATCGACGATCAGAAGACTAGACGTAGATTCTCAAACGCTGACCAACGCAACTGAATTCTTCTATTCACCTCGTCTTCGAAGTTGTTACTACCTAACTGCAATGTCTGCTCGAGGTACACATATTTTTGAACAACTTCGAGATAGACATCGTGTACTGCAATCGGTTTCGGTAGTACATTTTCATTGAATATGATCGTGCCGTCCGTGTGGTGACGGATTAAGAATACTGAGTGTCACCACCCCTATTCGTTCCGTGGGTGTCGTAAGAGGCGACTAAGGCAGTAAACTTGGCAGGACAACAGCAATGCAAACAGAATTAAAAGTTGAAACAAACCCTATACCAACCAGTCTGGCCAGCATGGTATAGTAGGCCAAAACCTCCTTTCTAAAGAGAGGCCTAGGTCCAGCAGTAGACTAGTAAAGGCTGTTGATTAACATGATCTTGGTTTTATCCAAGTTCATCCGTAGGCCGATGCATATAGAAGAGTCAGCCAGGTCATTCAGCATCTGTTGTAGGTCCCGCAACGTCTCTGCATATCCTTCATTGCAATCGTGAATAATTTCGAGGAAATAACGTCCTCTTGTCTCACTCCTTGATGCAACGGAATGGGCCTTGTTTGCTGATTCTGTACTTGAAAGGACGTGGTGACGGCTTCGCAGAGACATCTTATCACTTGGATATATCCCCACCTACTTGAAAACGCTGTAGGGACTCAGAACAGACTAGACGAAAGAGTCAAAGTCCTTCTCATAGTCCACGAATGCTAGACACAGGGGCTGATTACAGTCTATGATCTTCTGTTTAGTTTGCCGCACCGTGTGGATATGGTCCATTGTACCAAGCTTAAACCAAGCTTGCTCCGGTGGTTTCTTCAAACTTCTTTTACCAACGGAAAACTATATTTTCATCGAGTAACATAGGAAACTTTTACAGTACTAACTAACGTAGATCCGCGTACGGTAGGATCCGCGGGCTAAAGCTAGTACAATAAAAACAAAGAAACTCTTTGTTGACACTATCAGCAATTATTCAACGTAACGAACACTTAAGTGAATTCTCTACTCCAATAGCTTACTACATGGGATACATACAATATAACTGGGTCATTTGGCTCCTAAACTAGATTTGTATTCTCGTATCTTGGAAAGTCAGAAAACTTCGTTACAATTACGTCTTACGTACGTTTTTTTGAAAAAAAAAACTGATAAATACACGTGGGTGAAGCCACCAGCAAAAGCTAGTACTTAATAAGGGACTTACTGAAATGATTTTCATAGATATCATACACAACAATATTATTTGGCCAGCGTTTAGTAGCATTGACCAAACCGTTTTTAGGTGTATTGTCTCCGTTGTCATAGTCAGGCATTATCGCAGCTTCAATCTCTTTACGTTGCGCCTCTGTTAAGACCATATCACCCTCAAAGTAGTCACCATACTCCGCTGCAAACATGATAAAATAAATAGTAAAATTCGCTTGCGTTGCGTTGCTTAAAATAGACCTTTCTGATGGTGGTTTCTAATATACTTATATAGCACATTATAGTAGTCCACTGGCTGGACACAGGCCTCTTCTTAGAAAGAAGGTTTTGACCTATATACTATATGGCCAGAAAAAGAAAAGTCAGATTCAAGTTTTTAAGGTGCACATCTTTGCACACTGTAAAATTCAGCAAGCAAGTAAATATACTCGATTTCTTAAGTGTTTGATTCTATCTCGTACTCGTTTATGTTAGAAACAAAAAAAATATGAAATTTTTAATATTTATTATGTTATTGTCCATAGAAAAGGTAAGTGGATATGAGTATCTTGGTATAAGGTCTCCATAGCCAAGCTAGCTTTCCGAGAGCGCGAAAAAGTCAATTATGTATGTAATTAACAAAAGACTTTTACCTCTATTCTATCATTTTACCGACAAAAACAATATTCCACTAATGCAGTAAGACCTGCTTACACAATTTTATTAAACATGAGTATTGATGTGTAAGGAATATTACTTACCAACATAATCACCAGGTGCCTTTTCCCAAGAGGGCTCAGCTGCGATTGCAATAAAAACTGTTTTTAAAACCAACACATAAAACTCCATAGTTATATGTCTGCAATCAACAAGCACACTGAGTATTCTATCATACCTAAACGGCTTTATATACAGATGTACCGTGTAGCAGGTGGTTGAAAGTGGGACATCTCAATCGCTCACCTAATTAGATAGTCAAGTAAAATTTAAACAAGTTACTTTCGAAAAAAAATATGTAACAAGTCCTTATTGCACAATACGACTTGTAAGTGACTTCTAAGTACATGTTATCAGTCGTTCTTGAAGAATTCAATGCTAAATGCATTGCAACTATGAGTGCATATATCATTTACACACAAACGTTTCTCGAGCAGACGATTTGAGTACAAATTGTAGTCAAAGACTTTTGATTTAAGACATTGCGGTATTCGAGACGAGAAAATGTCATGCAGCTTCCCGTATGATTTTCTCTGTAGCTTTCGACATAATTTTCGTCTTATCCGTTTTCATTTTAAAACTCACCCGTTTAGAAAACCTACTAAGGGTATCGAGCACTATGCTGAGGTCTTCCATAGTTTCAGCCATGACAACTCTATCATCTGCTAATCGTAGGTGTGTGATATATTCGTCATTCATGTTGATGTCAAGTCCATTCCAGTCCAGAATCTTGAAGACGTCTTTTAGTGTAGCGGTGAACAGTTTTGGCGATAAAATATCGACTGACGACTATATACGCGATTATAGGCAACTGCCTCGGTGGTGCTGTGGTAATGTCTGCGACTGGTTATATATGGCGAAGTGGTTTAAGCGGTCGCCACGCTACTTCCTACTACGCCGAGTGTTGTGAGTTGAAAATCCACATGGGACGACACTTTTTGTGATCCACAAATTGTTATTCTGAGTCTGGATGTTCTTTATGTCCGTTTCATGTATGTTTGTAAAGTCTCCCGCTACATATATTCCTAATGCGGGAGTTGTCTTTCTTAAAAGGAAAGACTGCTGTGCTGAAGTCTCGAGTTCGATTGCCGAATCGGGCCAAATGTTTGTATTATCGGCAAATGTTTATTTCGTAGTTTGGTTGTTTTCTATGTATTATATATATGTATGTATTTAAAAAAGAAAAGTATAAGTATTCTATCAGCCAATCTAGCTCTCATATTGCAAGTTCTGCTTAGTTTGAAACTAGATGGCGTTGTGTGTCAATGTTCAAAAATATTATTGTTATTCTGTTTATTCCATTAAATATACATATGAATTACATTTTTAAATATATTTATGTACAATAAAAAAATACATTTAAAAATATAAAAAATAGTGTGCCATCGTTATCGGGTACAGGGACCAAGATATCGGTGGTTAGGACTCCAGAGACAGAAACCTCCTCACAATACTTGCCGTATCGACACGAAATGCTTTCTGCATCAGGCCCTTAATCCAACTGCCTAAAGCGAGCCTCCGAAGATGTTGGTCGAGGCTCTTAGCAATTAATCCATGGACCGAAATGACTATCGGTACAATGATTGACGAATCAACATCCCACATGTCAACAATCTCGTGGGCCAAATCCAAACACTTTCCTTGTTTATCTTTTTCAGCTTTCAAAAGATTGTCGTCATGTGGAATGGTAACATCAACAATTATTGCTCGGCGCTCTAATTAATCTATTACCACTATATCAGGTTTATTGGCTACAATAGTCCTGTCCTGTTTATTGGCTATAATAGGGCCATCCCAGTACAACGTTGCACGACTATTTTCAAGTACTGGGTAGGGCACCTTTTTGTAGTACGGTAACTCCACAGTCACAAGGTTATACTTAAGAACAAGTTGCTGATGGACTATCCTGACCACTTGGTTATGTCTATGCAAGTACTCGCCATTGGCAAGACGAGAATAACCGGAAATTATACGTTTCAGACTTTCACCGGGACAATGACATGCCCGACAAATGTCTATTGTGGCGTCCTTCAATCCGACTAATTATCTATTATATCTATTATTCGTCATAACAACTTCATCAGTAATTGCAAAGACAAAACCTTTAGTTTCTCCGAAGAGGTCACTGAATCGTAGCCAGAATTCAGACGCCAGTTGGTCTACCTCAGGCCTGTACAAGGCCTGATAAAAACTTCCATGCAGCTCTTTGCCCTTCCATATCTCCATACGATCAGTAATATTGAGTACTGCAAATTTGCTAGTTCTCTTTACCTAAACCAAGCAGAGTAAGTCCGTTATCAACTGCTACGGCATCCTTATGCATACCCACATTAATAAAAAAAAAGGATTCCTAAGGTTACATATCTCACGAACCACGACCAGGTTTAGAACTGGTGTGACCCAATCATTATAGGCCCTCACCTTATTACCGCCTGACAAAAGACTATTTAATACTTTTTCAGGCGGCTAAAGAAGCGTTCTTGTAACGATTGTTTTATAGTCAACTCATTTACACCTAATGCCTGTGTCATACCCAGATATTTGTTAGTTTCCTTAGCTAAGAGTCACCTTAAGTGCGTGGAATCAGAGAGTTCCATCCTATCAGATTCCACAATCCTGCCTCTTTTTATAAAGGTCTAGATAAGACCAAATTCCATCCTGATACATTCACTGAAGGTTTTAGTTATTTTTACTAAATTTATCAGTATGGAATTACTGGAAGCAAACAGTTTTAAATCATCCATGTAAAGGAGGTGTGATATAACCTTACCACCTCTCTGCAAACGATAGCTTAGGCCTGAACCCTCCAAAGAGTGCTGAAAGGATTCAAAGCCAAGCAAAATCACAAAGGACTTAAACTTTCACCCTGATATATACCCCGCTTAATCATTATATATTCGCCATCGCCTTGAGTTTTCCGACATCCTGCATAGCAAAGCACCGTGGCTGCATACATTTCTCCAGAAAAGTGCATACAGTGGTATCAATCTTGTACAACTCTATCACCTACAAGAGCCACGTATGCGGCACAGAGTCATGCCCCCACGTGCCCAACCTCATAAGATACTCATAAGAGACATAATAGAGTAGTTTGTAATATTAGATGTTATCTTCACTCTCAGAATGGACGTAGGTAATTTTTATAATGTCGAAAGAACGTTATTGGCTTATAATTCTTGGGGTCCTTGGCACAACCGGACTTACAGAGTAGGTGAGCTACTCCCATAGTCATAAAAGATAGAAGTGAACTTGATTCGAGGCATGATTGTAAGTAAACAATATATACTTACAGTTTCTTCTAAATTTCAAAAAAATACTTTGCATACAAATTTCCACTAACTTTATGCCAATGTTCCGCGGTCTTTGCAATTTTGATGTCAACTGGCCATCTGGACACACAATCATATTGCTATATCATATTCATGTTTCGTAGCCTGTAATGACTTCAGAAACACGCTTGACCTCTCATTTTCAAAACGTAGCTGTATCTCACCGCACAATGCCACACTGGATTCTTTTTCTGTTCCGGAGAGCAAACGAGGTGTCCAAAGAAAACAAAGCTTCCCTTTTCTAAGATGTTCATGTAATATGGTGTGAACACTAACCGAACTGATGCCTAAGATTTTCCCTATGTCCGTATATGTAATGTGACTGCTGCTGCTGCTGCTGTTGCTGGGCGTCCACTTCTGTTATCATCTTCAATTGCCCGAGAAGGAACATACTCACCTAAAGCTGATTTTAAACTGTCTAATGTTATACCTAGAGATAAACCATTTAAAGTCATAAAATATCATACCACGCAAATGCTCACGTTTAAGCTCTATTGTAGCAGACGAAAAAGCGGGAAATGATAATAGTATAATACTAATAACTTTTTGAAACGAAGTTCCTTATCGCGCGTTACACCCTCAGAGCAGATGGCGGCGAGACCGAAAAATGTGTAACAAGAATTTTTTCCGACACTTAATGCTATACGCTTAGATTATTTGAACTAAACAACAGATTTTAATGCCGATTTCGACAAGAGAGAGAGTGATTTAAGAGAAAGTTTTAAATGTTTAATACACGCATTTTATATTAGATAACTTCAGATAATTTCAAAGAATTGTCGTAAATTTATGATTTTGAGCGCTTACATTGCAAACGCTGCCTAAACCTTACGAGACAGACAAAAATAATGTTCTACGGAATTGTTTGGATGTTAAACATTATATTAATATTCCTTTACAAATTAATTACATTAGATACGTTGTGCATTTGATATGGATTAAAATTGCATTAAAATGAATATCTTCGAAGATATTAGAGGTTTCAAATGTGGCGGCAAAGGCTCTCCGTTCCTGTCGGTACGTACGTCCATCTCGGGTGACGGCGGCCCGAAACGGAGCGGGCTGATAATATTATATGCAACTAAAGATGTGCTTATCTCTTATCAACGTTTACTAAAAAGCGAAACCTCAAACTCTTAAAAAATATATATTTGAAATCGTCTTTTACGTAGGTTTATAGGTTTTGAGGTGCTCGAAATTTAAAAATGGAAGGCATCTGTGTCATATATTATCAAAAGGCAAATTTATTTGAAAATCGAACACACAAATTTGAAGTATAAGCGTATGTTCCCACTTAGGCGGAAGTTAAAACGGAAGACGGCGATACTTACCTAGTGGATGTTTATTATAGCCCTTCTTGTCATATTGACAATTTTTCGTCTTCGCAACCAAGCTGCAAAATTTATCACCCTCATACAGTGCTACTATTATTCTTGAGGATTTCAACACGTGCCTACTCAGGAATGATGTACGCAGCCGAAAACTCCGGTCCCTGGTCTCCTCACTTAACATACATATTCTCCCGTTAATCGCAACACATTACGCTTCTCATTCTAATCCTTCTCTCTTAGAGCTAATACTCGTTTCGGATCTTAATAAAGTTGCCGCTCATGGACAACTTTCTGCTCCTTTCTCATACCATGACCTCATTTTTCTCCCCTAGAAAACTATCTCACCTAAACCTAAGCCTAAATACATTGTTTTACGCAGTTTCAGAAACATTGATGAAGCATGTTTGAGAGGGGATGTTGAAAAAAGAGATTGGTCTCTTATATACAATTGTTGCGATATTGACACTAAAAT